TCCTTCTTCATTTATTTCATGTTCATATTAGAAAAAATACTTGGCGGGATTTTTTTTGCTCATGCCATTAAGAAGCATTGGCAGTGAAATGTGAAAAAGGAATGGGTCACCCTGAGTTTTAAAGAAAATATTCCAACTGGAAAACCACCTGCCTTTTGCAGCCTTATTTCACTAAATTTATTGGGTAGGCTTTAACCATTTTTTCTTGAAAAACCAGATGCAGGTTACATTTCCCAAGGATCTCAAAACAGGTTTTTTCAACACTAGTTGGAATGTACCCAAAGTCCCACACAGACCTCTAAATGATTGGAGAGTGATCCTCTTAATCCATCTTTTTTAAAATTGCTTTCCTTCACAGGGGTTTCCCTCTTTACTGTTTTGACACATTCCTTTGTGATGATGGTAGAGGCAATCATCCAATCTCTAGTTCAAATTGTTCTAAGGGAGTGAATTATTTGGTAATGTTTAACAACGATTTTTCAGCTTTTAAAATCTCAAAAATGACTTTTGTAATTCGTTACCTTGAACAATTAAGCTATATACTCATCTCTCTATGGTGTTTCTGCTTTTAAGAAGTTACACAAATGTAGATGACAGTCCTAATTTTACTATCTGATTATCTAACTCTGCTATTAATTCCTGAACTGAGTCAAATTGCCATAAACTAAGCTTATATGTGAATGAATGGATCTTTATTACAAATATCAACCAGGAAAAATAAAAGGAAAAGGAAAAACATTTAAATATCACACTACGCCAGTACAAAAAACATAATTTATACATCTCTACACATTTTCAACAATTTGACAATAATCTTTTGGCAGACTTTGTGTGCTATAAAACAAATTTTATAACATTTAAAGATATTATAATCTCTAATAAATAATTAACATAATACATATCTGTGCACCCTGCAAACTCTTATTAAAAAGGAGCCCGGTGAAGATGACAAATACCTCTACAATAACTGCAATAAAATAGTACTTGTACTGTGTTTCCAGGCTGTCGATATTACTTGGGCAATAGCATTGACTATGTGGAATTCTTATGTATCTCCCTTCCAGACCAGCTGTGTGAAGACATCAAAACAAGCTAGGGTGAGCACTCTGGGATTTTTGGCACGGTAAAACATCTTGCTGATTTCAGAGTATTAACCTGGGTGCTCAAAATACAATACTGGGTATATGACTTCGTTCTACTTGCCAGTGCGTAGCATGTATTTTGTGTCTAATTGCTCTCCTGGCTTGTTCCTACGTCATATAGCCTGCTGGTCTTCCCGGGTTCCTTATAGGGCCCTATTTATGCCACACACAATGACTGTGCACAAAACATAGCTTTCTTGCAGCTGGATTCAACTGAACACCCATACTGAAGCAAAAAGATACTGCCGACCTTTGACTAAGGCTGTTCTTGATGGAGCTACATAATTTAAGTGAGCTTTCCTGCTACCTGTAGCATATTTAAAACATGAGACTTGATTGGGTTTAGGGACCACTTTGGAAACCCTATCACTTTAGTCTTGGCATAATTTATTTCTCATGCCTGGCAAAGCATGTCCCAGCCCCCAAGTACATGCCCACATTGTGGGAAGTTGGGGTCTCTGAATTCTCTGAAACTTATCTTTTAAGAAAACGCAAATAGGATCAAGCTGGTACTTTACTCATTGTTTTTATTTACTCAATAATTTCAAAAAGAATATATAGCTCATCAAAATCCCCCTACACCAATCAGCAAGAGAAATAGGTTCAACGCATACATGCAAAATACATTGCCAGCTGTATGAGACGACTCATTCCCAATTTATAATATAGGGAAATGACTTGAATATAACATCTCAGTAACATTTTGATTTCACCTTCCTCCAATAAATTCACTGTAATTCACATTGGACTTCCCTCATGTAGAATAATCCTACGGAATAAGAATTGGCACAGAACTTTTTGGATGAGAAAGGATCTGACTCAAGGTCTCCTTGGTTCATTATTCTAACCTCCCCCAAGCTGGGGTCCATGACAGCATGGCCAACTATTAGGAATTTTGGATCCTGTGATTTCTGCATCCAATTGGCGCTCCCTGAATCTAGCTATATCCTGGTATCTATATTTCTTAAACAAGTAACAGACTATTTACAAATATTGTTTGCCTCTGAATTCATGTCCATAAAGCAGTCAGAGGTGTCCACGGAAACAGTTAAAAAAGATGACAGCCACAACAGTGTGACCGAAGCTCTGTTTTTTATGTGCAATGCCATGACTACCATCTTGACTTTTTCTATCATACCCTGTCAATACTCCTGCTTGCAGTACTGTATTTCCATTCAAACCTTGAGCTGTAGGCTACCTTGTGTAGTTCAGATCATACCAGTGTAGCTTTGTAATTAATCATAAGAGTTTTAAATTACTAACAGGTCTACAAATGATGGGCTCTGATATTGTAAACATGACACTTGCTTATGGAGCTCCAAACACTAACTAGTTATCAAGCACTTAATTTCTTAAGTTCTTGTTGTGGCCTTATTTGGAGACAACATGATTACTCAAATAAAGAGAATTAGCATCAATTTATTCTGTTTCCAAGAGCGCCAAACCCTCTAATGTACAAAAAGGACCCCCTTCTAATATCTTCCTCATTCATTTAGAAAATTATATATTGATCAAAGGCAGATCCTCATGCAGTCTTCTCCTACCTGAATTCCCTCCAGAAAGTCATCCTAGCTGGTAAATTCTCAGGCTTGAAATCCACTCCCACTGTTGCAGAAAACTGCTGTAGTCATTCTTCTATGGGAATGATAGACGCAGCCGATATGGGTAAGAAATCTTGTGCGCATCTGTGTATGGTCCTTTTCAGTCACAAAATAAAGTATCTGTGCAAGAACAAAAAAAAAACAAAGGTAACATCAGGTCAACCATGAAGTATTCTGAATGGGATTGAGCCCAATGCTGCAGCATTACACTTATGAGGGAGTAAACTCCATTAAGCAGGACAAACTAAAGAAGCATTTCTAAAGAAACATATGTATGATTACAATGTAAGAGAGAGATGGAAGGAAAGAATCTGCAGTAATTTGTTTTGATACATATGCTAATTTTGAAAGAAGAAAGGAATCCAGCAATGATAGGCTCATACACACATACCCAAAGATACATACATACATACCTACAGTAGAAGTGCAGTCTCCTTCAAGTTGAGCTTCACTACTCCATATAGTTTTCTTGGCAGCAATGTGGAGATGGTTTGCCACTACTGCTTTCTGGAATTTTCTTTTCAACTTGCCAGGGCAGCCTACAGGCCAAGTTTTTCCTGGCAAGTATTCCCTGAGCTCTCACTAGGTCTGAATCTGCTTAGACATAAAGAGAGATATGTAACCTTCCCAGTACTGAATGTCCTACACAGTGAATTTTGAAGCAGTCAGGAGTTACCCCATTTAATTTTGTACTAACTAAACAAACGAAAAACTCAGATAAATAACAGTGACAATAGTAGATTATTTCAAAGCACACTTTCTCCTTTTTTTCACCATAACTGGATGTTTTCTGAACATAGGGCAGCATTGCTGGGATCAATATTTATCTTATTTGTCTGTAAGTAATATAAGCAAAATGTTCTAGCTATTGATTTTTTCTGAATAAAAATACAGGATGTAAGATATATCTGCCTAATAGATGTTACAGTAATACCTTTTAGATTATTTCCATATGAGAGTTAGTCTACCTGGGGAGAAAGTTCTTTGAACTAAACTGGACTTACTTCTGAAAACATATGTGTTTTGTTGCACATGATTCAAATCATCATTAGCATATTTTAATTAATTAATAAATATTTATTTATTTTAATTAATGTTTATTCTGTTTTTACTGTAAACTGCCCAAAGTCACTTCGCAGTGAGATGGGCGGTGACAACTCTGAAATATAAATAAATAAATTTGTCAAAGTAAGATGGAGAGTCCTCAGTTGCTTTATACAAGTTATGTAGTCCCATATTTTATTAAGATGTATGCTCTCATTCAGAAGGTATTGTTCTTGTTTGTGAAGAAGTAAAGCTCTTGGAAAAATGCATAGTGTTATGGAAAATTAATTAGGTGGTCAAAATTAGGTGATAAGTTTAAAAAAAGAAAGGATTGGGAAACTTGTCAGATCATGGACAACTGCCCCAAAAGAAAACCACCTACAACCTCAACAGGTTGATGTAATGCTTTCTTGTATAGTGTGACTCCAGGCTTGTTTTATTGCCACCTGACTAGATAGGTGTTTGAGGGATCCTCCTAAGCTCTGTCCCATGACTCAGCTGTCAGTCCCTTGCTCATTTTTCCCAAATGCCACAGTAGGGGATGGGGGGATTTGGAGCAAACCCATGTCTAGAGATAAAGCAAAAGCAGATGCCTCTGCCTATTTGCTAACTTTATCTCTCTGAGCAGCACATCACATACGTTTGAGCCACCTTATCTCACCTGAATTTTCCCTCTGGTGGGATTTCTGCCCAATGAATTGAATTCCCTCTGCATGCCAGTTCAATGAACAAAAGTGACTGGAGGCAGCAGCTGATTTTGGGTGATCATTTTGATCATTCCCACCCACTCTAGCATCAAGATATACACAAGTGATGGCTTCTGCCATCTCTGACAACACACCAACCATCTTTCTCTGCAATAGCCTATCTCAGCAAACTGTTCAAAACACGGAACACCAAATGATTCCCTTCTCCACCGCTGTTGTATGAATACCTATGACTTTTTTAAAGAAACAAAAGGCAAGGGAGTGGTGGAGTCTCCTTTGCTGGAGGCTGGATGGTCCTCTTCAGGGATACTACTGGGCAGGGAAGTAGGCCTAGATAAACGTCAAGTCCATTCCTTATATTGTATAATTCTATAAAAAAGAAAATATTGAAATAAAATCTACTTTAATAATACTGTTTATTTCCCATATATTTTATGAAGATACATTGAAATAAAAGACATCTTTGAAGTTGCTTACAGAACTTCAAGTTGTTTGGGGAACACCGGTGATCTGAGGAACATTGTTTAAAGAACATTGCTCTATCATAACCATCTCTTATGAAGCATCCTTGGTATGTGCTGGATTACAACTCCCAGAATTTCAAGCTGGCATGGTCTGACTGCTCATTCATCCTTTGTCACTGGGAAGACTGGACTAGCTGGGCTGCAGTCTCAACAGACCTGGAGGTTGTCAGATTGGATAAAGCTGGCCTTGATTATAGAATATCTAAGTTTATGGGATATTTTTGAGACAGGGCCATGTTTGAAAAAACTCTTACCTATGGTTAACTTACCCATATTTACTCAGTTAATAAAAATTTCTGAAATCACATGACACACTGAACTAACCACAAGAGCTGGGTTTGCCTAAAACATGAAAACTCTAATCTGATGCACTAATTTGTGGTTCGGTGTATTATATGGACTCAAACCAAAGGCCAAAATACTTGGTAAATGCTTTGATGGTAGCCTGTTCAACTTGGCATTTTGCTCTCTTGCCTCCTATATTTGAAAGTGTTCAGATGCATCTAGGATGCTAGCGGCAGACCCAACAGCTGAGTCTCTATGTAACGCTTATCTATTGTTAACTGAACTCTGGTTTATTTCATGCAAGTTTCTGGATTTTTACAGAAAACTCACCAAGTATGCTGAATTTGAAAAACACACTTGGCTAAAGTGTGGTTGACTAGTCTGTGATTCTGTCCATTATGCAATACATAATAGGGTTTTGTTTGGCATTATTCATTTATTTTGGGGAGGGCTTGGTCCTTAGTTCCCTGAGCTGTTTATCCAAGTGAATCTTTCAGTCTTCTCTAATGGAACCTCTGGTGCATTTTCTAAGCATGGGGGTTGGGCAGGGGAGAATTTGTCATTACATTTTAAATTTCTGGAAAGAATCCATGTTTTAAAGTTTCTTTTGTTTTTTGTTTTTTAAAAAAGACACTTATTTCATTTTTAATTCATTGTGGGAGGGAGAATGGGAAGCTGTCGGTAAAACTAGCGCTAAGAAGCTGCCTCAGTCAGGCTCCAATCATTTCAGATGAAAGCATTTGGGGTTTTCATTTCATTCAGCATACCAGCAACTTCCCCAACTGCAAACTCTTTAGCTGTTTACTCATAACCTTATCTATAAAGTTAGTTACCTCTTACCCCTCCCTTTTCTTTTAAAAAAAATTATTTATTCGTGCACATTTTTCAGTCAAAAAACGAAAAGCAATTGTCTGCTTCCACGCCAGCTCCCTGCACCCCCTCCATTCATTAGTCGCTTGCAACATATGGGGCTATTCTCCCAAGGCAAACCCCGTCAGCCCGGGCCTCCTTCGCAGCCGCCCGTCCCCGCCTTTCGTGTTCCGCCGAAGTTGGACGGGGTCAGGAAGGGAGGGGAGAAAATCACTCCCGAGCCACCTCCACTTCTCCTGCGTTCCGAACCGGGAAGAAATATTGGGTGACGGTCCCTGACGCAGGCAAACTTAGGCGTCGGTTTCAAGGCTCCTCCCTTCTGGTGAAAGGCAGACTGCGGGGTGCCTGGAAACCGGTTCGAGGGAGAGAGGGCTTGAGGGATTGCCGCAAATGGTCAGGCGGCGGCGGGGGGGGAGGGGGGGGAGGCGGCGGCGGCGGCCGCAGCAGCAAGATCAAAAGCAGCTGGATCTGCTGCGCTCTGCCCGGCGGAGGAGACGGGGCTGGCGGCGCGGTGGAAGAGTCCGCGGCGGCAGCTGCTGAGCTGGCCCCTTCCTGGGCTTTGCGCCCTCCTGCCTTTCCTTCATGAGTCTCAAGTTTGCGCTGGCAGGAGACCGAAAACGCGGCGGCAGCGGCGGCAGCGGCGGCAGCAGCAGCCCGGGCCGGGAAGCGGCGGCGGCGATCGAGGCAGCGACGAGGGCGAGAGGAACCGGCGAAGTATGGCCGAGAAGTGGAGTCGGCAAGTTTGCAGCGGAGCCAAGGCGGCGGCGGCGGCGGCGGCAGGGGGTAGGCAGGCCCGAGTGCGCTCTCCGTGGCCGCTCCTGCTGCTGGCGCTGCTGCTCGTGTGGACGGAGGCGCCGATGCTCTCCGCGCGGGGCCAGGCGCCACCCCCGGCGCAGTACAACGGCGAGCGTGGCATCTCCGTGCCGGACCACGGCTACTGCCAGCCCATCACCATTCCGCTGTGCACGGATATCGCCTACAACCAGACCATCATGCCCAATTTGCTGGGCCACACGAACCAGGAGGACGCCGGCCTGGAGGTCCACCAGTTCTACCCGCTGGTCAAAGTGCAGTGCTCGGCGGAGCTCAAGTTCTTCCTCTGCTCCATGTACGCGCCGGTGTGCACCGTGCTGGAACAGGCGTTGCCGCCCTGCCGCTCCCTCTGCGAGCGCGCGCGCCAGGGCTGCGAAGCGCTCATGAACAAGTTCGGCTTCCAGTGGCCGGACACGCTGCGCTGCGAGAAGTTCCCCGTGCACGGCGCCGGCGAGCTCTGCGTGGGCCAGAACACCTCCGAGCGGGGCACGCCCACTCCCTCTCTGGGCCCCGAGCTGTGGACCAGCAACCCCCAGCTCAGGCCTGGCGGCGGGGCGGGCGGCGGTGGAGGGAGCCACCTGGCGGACCGGGCGGGCAGGTTCAGCTGCCCCCGGGTGCTCAAGGTGCCCTCCTACCTGAATTACCGCTTCTTGGGCGAGAAAGATTGCGGGGCCCCCTGTGACCCCGGGCGCCCCTATGGGCTCATGTACTTCGGGCAGGAGGAGCTGCGCTTCTCACGGACCTGGATTGGCATCTGGTCAGTGCTGTGCTGCGCCTCCACCCTCTTCACAGTTCTCACCTACCTGGTGGATATGAAGCGTTTCAGTTACCCAGAGAGACCCATCATCTTCCTCTCGGGTTGCTACACTGCCGTGGCTGTAGCCTACATCGCGGGGTTTCTGCTGGAGGAGAAAGTGGTGTGTAACGAGCGCTTTTCTGATGATGGCTCGCGTACCGTAGCCCAGGGCACTAAGCGAGAAGGGTGCACCATCTTGTTCATGATGCTGTATTTCTTTGGTATGGCCAGCTCCATCTGGTGGGTCATCCTGTCCCTCACGTGGTTCCTGGCTGCAGGCATGAAGTGGGGCCATGAGGCCATCGAAGCTAATTCCCAGTACTTCCACTTGGCTGCTTGGGCTGTTCCAGCAATCAAAACCATCACCATCCTGGCTCTGGGACAGGTAGATGGAGATGTGCTGAGCGGCGTCTGCTTTGTGGGCATCAACAATGTAGACGCTTTGCGGGGCTTCGTGCTGGCACCCTTGTTTGTGTACTTATTCATTGGCACTTCTTTCCTCCTGGCTGGATTTGTGTCCCTTTTCAGAATTAGGACTATTATGAAGCATGATGGCACCAAGACAGAAAAACTGGAAAAGCTGATGGTGAGAATTGGGATCTTCAGCGTTCTGTACACAGTGCCTGCCACCATTGTGATTGCTTGTTATTTCTATGAGCAAGCATTTAGGGAACAGTGGGAAAGGAGTTGGTTTGCTCAAAGCTGCAAGAGTTATGCCATTCCTTGCCCCAGTAATCACCATCACCCCCCCATGAGCCCGGACTTCACAGTCTTCATGATCAAATATCTCATGACCCTAATTGTGGGAATCACTTCAGGCTTCTGGATCTGGTCTGGAAAAACACTCAATTCCTGGAGGAAATTCTATACCAGACTTACCAACAGCAAACAAGGGGAAACTACAGTGTGAAGTTCAACATCAGCTTGGGTTGTTCACTCACCAACTTTGATGTTGGTCCACAGTGCTGACCAGAGAGTGGAAGAGGAGAGAGATGTACACACCCTGAAACCATATAGGTCAGAGAATTTTCCCTCCAGCCCACAGGAAACTGATACTAAGGACATTGGAAGAGGAATCTACTGTTCTCCTTCTCCTCATCTGGACTAAATTTACCCTAAAAGTTGGGAATGTGATTTTGAGATTGTTGTAAATAGTCTCTGTAAGATTTTGTAAGTATATTTGTATTTAAGTTGCAAAGCTTTTTCGTATATATTTAAAACATTTTAAAACTCCCTTTGCAGACTTTTCTGTTTTGAAGCACAAGAAAACAAACGTTCTGTTTTATTTTCAGTGCAGCATTGAAAAATGAGAAGCTAAGAGACCTTCTTTTGTAGGTCCAAGATTAGGACTGACTGATTTGTAATTGGCCCTAATATTGGAGCCATTTACAATGAGGAACCTAATGGCTTCAGGAAACCCATCTAGTAGGTTGTTGGTGGCACAGTTAATGGGATTTGTGTGGCACAGCAGCTGTGGACAAAGAGTAGAACAACCCTTCCTTGGTATAACCTGAAGGAAGAAAGAGCAAGCTGTCCTACCTGTTGTAGTAACACTGTGGGAGGAGCTCATGGACGAGAACTGTCCTAGCCGATTACATGCTTAACCCTTGTGGAAGAAAACTCTCAGCCACGGAACTGACCGGGAGCTTTCTAAGCCCTGTTTAAAGTTGTGACCTTAAAAGTGTAGAATGGAATAGCTGGGAATGAAGTATTCTTATCAACTCCCGTACATATTTGATAGATTTTAAAGCACTGTAAAGTTTTCTCCTAACTTTGTAATATATTGAGCTTACAATTTGCTTTGTATCTTCTGTAGAAATAAGTCTCTTGGCTGTTATTATTAACTCTGCAGTGAGCAGGAAGGCTGTTTCTTTTTTTTTATTGTAATTCGATACGCTCTTTATTAACATTGTTCTGAACAATGTTTCTTTGGTGGATTTTTTTCCTTTAGTGAATTTGCTAAAAAAGAACTGAAAAGTCTCTACTGAACTGATTTTGCAAATCAGTTCAGTATGGTCAATAATAAAGGTTCGGGGGAATAAACAGAGCAAAAAAACTCAGTAACTTGGATTATTCAGATTTTTGAAATTTGCTTGACATTGACATTTTATTTCTGCAGATCTTTATAGCTGATGGGTTTCATTCCTTCTCATTAATAGCTGACCAAAAAGCATGATGATTTATGCTACCAGGGGAAAAACAGCAACAATAATGTGTGAAACCCAAAAGACTCTACAAGCCTGATGTTTCAGCGTAGTCATTTATATGTAAAGCTGGAAGAACTGTCTGTGATTGGTCAATGCTCCCTCTAAACTGTTACAGCTCATACTTCTGTAATAGGTTTATACAAGATCTGTCAGTTTTCAGTGGCAAACTCATTTTCATATTTAATCATTTCTGTGGCACGGCAGACTTGCTGCTCTTCTGGCATATTGTTCCAAACTTTTTATTTACACCCCTGCCAAAATACAATCTATAATTAACCATACCCTAAAATGAATAGCTCTGTGAATTTGGTACACACTTATTTCTGTTCACTATCTCAAAATCATCTATATTTATAGAGCAATAGAAGTTTATATATAAATATAAAAAACCCTATTTTAATTTTTTTTTAATAAATTGTTTTGTATAGAATTATTTTGTCCTTTTAAAATTCTTTATAGACAATTCATTAGTACTGTTTTAATACTAGGGCTTTATGGGTTTTTTTTAAAAAACAAAAGTAAAAATGCCCACACTAGTGCTTTTGTCTTAATTAAATTGGTCAATGTATATGCCCTAAATTGAGATGATGTAAGGAGTGTAAGGAAATGAAAGCAGTACGGCTATCATTGCAGTAGAAGATAAAAAGCTTATAGTTGATTGTTTCTTTTAAAAGACTGACTGAAAGGATCTTTTTCTACTGTGCTTCTTCCATTAAATAAGGTGAAAAATAATTCAGCTGCTTGATAACTTTGGCTGAGTGTTGTACAAAAACAAAGCTTAGTATATAGCCATTTATGCAGTAACATGACACAAAAACTCTAACAGACATTAAAAAGATAAACAGATGATAGATTGATATATAGATACTGTAGATAGATAATTTTGCTTTACTATACTCTAAGAGTTCATGATTCTAAAATGGCAAAATATATTTGATTATAGCTCTGTTAATTTTAGCATCAAATGTATTTTAAAAAGGGAAGTGACCTTAAATTTATTTGATAATGTCATTCTGTTCAGGTGAATTTTATAGTTTTAACCAAGCAGCAGGTACTTGGCCTTTTTTATTCATATCTTAAAGCCAAGTGTCTGCATGTAGACAGAGGCGAGAAACCCTTAAGCTAATTTTTACTCATATATTTATCTGAAAATGTGATTTCAGGATAATGACTTGGAATGTCAGAACTTTAAATCTGATTATCACTCAACACTTTTTAGTATGATTATTTTTATATTTTTACTGTTACAGATATTTTAATTTGTTCAATTGTGTCCAGTTCTTGGAGATTATCTGGACAAGTCCCTGCTGTTTTCTTGGCAAGGTTTTTCAGAAGTGGTTTGCTGTTGCCTCCTTCCTAAGGCTGAGAGAAAATGACAGGCCTAAAATCACCCAGCTGGCTTTGTGCCTAGGCAGGACTAGAACTCATGGTCTCCCAGCTCTCTACGTATATCACAACATGCCTTATTTAGGATGAAGATATACTGTGTGTTCATGAAGGCATCAGAACCTGAGCCTTCATGAATTTGGAGAAGACAATTAACAATCGTATTATTTCACCCCTGATTTAAAAAATGCAAGACAGATTAGAGGAATTTAGAGAAAGATCTATTGTGATTATGAAGGGACAGTAAATTACCCCTTTCCTCCCTTTAAAAATAAACTCTGGGAAAGATTTAGATTTAGAATGAATGAGAACTTTTATTCTGCAACAAATTGCTTGGTGGGGAGTGGAAGGGATAGGTTTTTTGTTGTCAGGTTTGTAGAGTAAGGAGAAAACCATTCATTTCTCTTCCCACCCCTACACACCAGTCATGTTAAAGATTAAAACTAATCTTCCAAAGAGAATCTTCGTGCTTAACGCCCATTGTCCTTAGGCCCTACTAGGAAGAGGAACATTTGACACTGTAATGGTCTTCCTGGGAAATGAAATACAAGGTTCATTGGTGACATTGCTTGTGGCTGCAGCATCATACCTTAGAGTAAATCCAATTGAATTCTGGAATTATTCCTGAGCGGATACACATAGAATTGTATCAGCATGCTACAACTTTCCAGCAAAGTATAGAACTCACACATTGCCTACTTCAAATCCCACCCATTTCAGTCAGGACTAAGCAGCCTCCCTCTGTGTGGTGTTGTAGCCTTGGTTTCTTTGAAAGAGTAGGACTGCCAGATGTCTTCACTGCCATCCTAGTGGCCATGCTGGATCTTGCAGCTCATATTTCTTTGGAATTAAAGTAGCAATCTTCCTCATGCTTGAAAAAGAGATCTACTTGCAAATAAAGTGATAGTTAAACCAGTGCAAAGTAATTTGATATGTTCAAAGAAAGAAATGGTATGAATGGATATAAAAACACTCTGACCCCCCCCCCCAATGAGTGAGGGAAAAGGAAATAATTCATATGCCAGTGTTCTCCATGTAATTGGTCTTAAACTGAAGAATTAAGGGTGCTCACCTATTTTTAGAACAACTTCTTCCTTGAAATTTCTAGCCAGTGGAGCTTTGTAAAAAGCCATAAAAGTCAATGCTTCCAGGCAAGATTGTTAATAGAATTGCTTTTCCTTGCCTGCAGAATTGTATACTTTAATTTTGTTTGTAATATTCGTAGTATTCCAACTCTGATCATTTTCCTAACATGTGCACGAAAATGTATGCATGAAAAAGGAAAGGAAAAAACAATGGATTTTAAATCTATCCAATTTCTAAGGCCACCCATTAGCCCAGCAGCTAAGATGTCCTGGAAGCAGCCTGGCAGTTGTATTTTCTCCTCAGAGTCTTGATTAACCAATTGCATGGTTTGCTTGTAACCATGATTTCATGGCCTCTTTTGGGGTGCCTGCAGTTGATTTACAGACAAAGTTACATATTTTTGCAAATTCAATCAGGAGAGGAAAACATCATCCCACTGAGTTTCCCAGGCATTCCAGTGGGCTGGCTAAACACAGCACTGCGTATAGGATTGACAGTTGCTTTGGCTTGTTCAGGGTTTCTAAAGTTGGCAGCTTTTAAAGGAGAGGACTTCAACTCCCAGAATTCTCAGCAATGACCATGCCAGCTAGAGAATTCTAAAGTGGGAAGACCACATCAGGAGGTTGGAAAACACTGGTCTAGTTGCTCCAACAGCCATTGCTTTATCAATTTAAATCCCCACATTCGCTTATGGGAAGAATACATAGGGATAAATGACAGTCCCATTCCCCTAAGCCTGTCAATTAGATGGTGGGAGCAAATTTGGCAGGGGCTCAGCACCCATGAGCTGTTCTCCTGAAAGCCTCCGGAAGCGTCCCAGGTAGTTCACAGGATCCCTATCTGGTTGAAGATAGTTTTAAATGGGGGGTGGGCGGTGTCAATAGCTGAATGTTTAAAATGCTATCCTGGATCAGGCTAATGGGATAGCATACTCTCTTGAGGGACTGTGTGTAAACAGTGCTGCATATTGTAAAAATTGTCAGCAATGAGTATGACGTCACTTTTGTCACATAGATTACTGGTGCTTGAATGTTCAAAGGAACCTTTCATGTTAGAGCAAAGGGCCATGAATCCAAGATTCCACTGTGGCCAGTAAGATGTTCTTGGGAAATCTGCCAATGAGGCATGGAAGCAAAAGTCTTTCTATGTTCTGCTTTATGGCAACCAGGATTTCATAATGTACTTCTTTAGCACATAAAAGTTATGTGAAATAATTACGATGCTGCAGTTCTTGGCACCCTTCCTAGAGCTTCGATTAAACAGATTGGTGGCATACCACCAATTACATCATTGCACATGATGGAGAATAAAATCATTCATGGTGTCTGGGGCAGCATCCTTGCCACCCAGTATCTGGTGGGGTGCCAGAAGCTTTCTCCATTACCCTTACAACCCTAATGGGTGGGATGTGGCTGCCTAGCAGCCATTGGTAACTAATGCACCATATTTTTCTAGCTATCTTTTGCATTTAGGCAAATGTTCATAACTGAATTTTGCAGCAGTGAAATCCTTAATGATGTATATTTCCTTGTCAGCTCTGAATTTAGAGCCAATTAATTTTATTGGGTAAACATTAGTTGCAGTATTATGAGGGTGAAAGTGCTTGAATTTCTGTACTCCATACCTTAATAAATTGTGTGTGTGTGTGTGTGTGTGTATCACATATAATATACTCAAGTGGGTTAAGGTAGGCAAAGTCTTTCTTGAACTGAACTTAATTCCTGGAGGTTGTTTGGACACAACCTTGTTGGTTAGTTTGGTAAAATACAGAGTAGTTTGTCATAGTCTTCTTACTTCATCAGCTAGCCTAGGGGATTTCCTGGTGGTCTCTTTTCTGGGTAGTAACCAGGTCTACTTCCCTTAAGAGATCAAGATCAGCCAAAGTCATCTAGGTGTTTCCACCTGCTATGATACGATTATTTTCTTTTCATTTTAGATATCTTTCTTATTGGAGCTATGACATATCATTTGACATGGAGGGAACAGAATAACATGCAATATTCCAGGTCTAACTGCACTGTATATTTTTATAAAGCATCATGATGGTGAAAAAGTTTATTTTCAATTCTTTTTCTAATAAGAATTTGCTCTTTTCATAGCTGTATCATTATTTTCAATGTACATTAACTCTGAAGTAGGTTTCCTGGTTCATTACCATTATTTTAGACCCTGAACACGCATGCTAGGATTTAGGGGTGTCAGGGTGGAACTGGGAGAGAGTCAATGTATGTTACTTTTTCAATGAATTTTGTTCAATTCTCCCTCTGGTTATTCACTAGTTTCATTTTTTTAATGGAGCTTTTTAAATAATATTGAATGATTTTATTTCACTTATAAACCTGGTCTTACTGCTCATTTCTGATACAAGAACATTGATGAGCCAATCCCAATTGGGTTACTGCAGTGTGCTCTACATAGGGCTCCCCTTGAAGACCATCTGGAAGCTGCAACTGGTCCAAAATGCAGTGATGTGTGCAGTTCTGGGTCCTCACGGTTTGCCTGAGTTTGTTTTGTGAGCTGCACTGGCTTCCAGCTGCCATTAAAAGTGCTGCTTATTACCTTCGAAGCCCAACGTGGCACAGGGTCCGGTTATTTGCAGGACTGCCTCTCTCAAGGGTACCAACCCATCCCACTAGGTCAAATAGGGTGGGCATGCTCCAGGTGCCTTCCCTTAAGTGTTGTCATCTAATGAGACCTTGGTAGTATCCATTCTCTGTAGCTGCCCCAGCCCTTTGGAATAGCTTCCCACCAGAGATTCATGGGACCCCTACTCTTTTAACCTTTCCTAAGGCCATGAAAACCTGGCTCTTCCCCCAAGCACTGGGGTAGGATTGGGGTAGAGTCAGGAGGTTAATAGTTTGGTTGGTCTGGTGCCTGGTGGGAAAGGTTGTTCTGTTTTAATTCTATT